TTCTACTTTTTTATAGAATGTGTATACATCTTTTAAGATTGGAAATTTTTATCTATTATCTTGATTGTGTCAGGTACCCATTGACACAAAATAAAACAATGTTATGTTAGCCATTTATTCTAAACCAAATGATCGTCCTTGACATATGGTATTTTTTTTAACCGCAGGTATCTTTTTGGTATGTATGCCTTTGGGTTAGAGGAGACTAACTTCTACCAGGAAGCAGAAAAACAAGCTCGAAAGGTAATTCATGGAGACAACTGAGAAAAACCATTTAGAAGTTGTTAAGTATTCGTTATAATAATTTCCTCAGTTTGGTTAGGATATTGAGCAAACTTCTTAAGCATAGTGTTTCTAAGAACAGTGCATTGAAGTGGAATTCAAAGCAGTATATGGAGTGTAATCATTATGGGATTGACAGATGAGGGTTGGACTCAAACTGAAACAAGAACTGAACAAACAGGCAGACAAGCAACTGAAACACTTTCAGCGGGTTATGGAAATCTCAGACTGAACACACTACCGAGTTAAGATAGTTGGGTTTTATCAACTGAGTTGATAGTGGAAATTGGCCACCGTTAAGAGCTTCTAAGCTGAAACGCCAGCTTTAGAAACTTTTTACGGCGGCCAATTTACATTTTCAACTCAGTTGATAAAAACCAAATTATCTTGCAGTAACTCCTTCCCCCATCTCCAACGGTGAAGATGCACGTTTAGCTGTATCCACAGACTGGCATAGAATTTCCTTGTATACGGTAACGGAACCCCGAAAAACCTTGCGGTACCATACACTGTACATTCTGTTTTCATTGGTTTCATTAAGAGCGCTTTTCGGTCCTTTTCGATTGAGTGTTGTAAAACCAAATGCAAAGAAATAACAACGGCCAATCAGAAGAAAGGAAAAACCCCACTGAGAAATTAATCAGTAATGAGTCAGTGAGCCAATGAGAACTCATAATAAAACCAAGTAAACTGCCTAAAGCGCGGGAAAACGCGGGCGATCAAGTCGTGATTGGTTTTTGTTTTGCATCTGATTGCGTAAGTTTTCTGGACCAATCACACAGTAAAGTAAAGCAAAAGCAAAGTCATCACGGATTACTTTTAACACTCAATTGAAAATTACTTTGACTGTCTACTTGCTAAGTCTCTTAAAAATTTAATTTTGAAACATGCCAATCTAAACGGTAGGGATTGGAGCTTATTCCCAAAGACACGTGGGCAACTCATGCCTTGGCTCATGTTATGGAGATGGAAGGTCGTCAGGATGAAGGAATTGAATTTATGAGTAAGACCGTGGAAAACTGGAAGGTGGGATATTAATTTAATTGTCTGTTTGACCTCTTGATATTTAGAATGAAGGCAATGTTACATCTTTTTTTGTTTGTCTTCATTTTTCGGATAAATTTCTGGATGTTATCTCACAAGTTCTGTAAGAACATTTCCTAACCGTCTGAAAAACGTCTGATTTTGTCACTAGATACTCGAATATTCACGCCCCCACCCCGCCTCTCTCCTTATTTTTGACCGTTCACCGCCCCCTCTTCCCAGCCTTCCGCTTCCATTAAAATCAAAGATGGCGGCCATAGTTTCCGTTAAGAAAATGCAGAGCACTAGCTCGACAAAATTACGCCTGCTCTGCAGGCTAGGTACTCGTAAGCATTGAGTAGCGGTCCAGTCATTTAATATTAATTGAAATGAATCTTCTTCTTTTCCTTGCCAGCCATGTGAGTCTTTGGCCTGCCACAATTTCTGGCACTGGGCTTTGTACTATATTGAAAAGGTACGCTCTTAATAAAAGCTAACAGTGGCGTGTGTATGTATAGATAAGTAAAGAGCAAAGTTACCACTTCTTGAAGCTTTAAGGAACCACCGAAAAGATTATAAATGGTGCATGAAGCTGATTTCAAGTTACACTTCTTCTATTTAGCTAAAGGTGAAGTATGCCACGAAACCACATGCCTACATAAAATCTACCACCAATGTTGTTTACAGATTCGAAAAAGCAACGTAACCTTTCGGAATAAGTGCTAAAATCCGAGTATGGACGAAGCCATTTTGATAGCAATTCTCAATGCAAAGGCGTCGCACTCGTCGCACAGAATTGTAATGTGCGTGTGAGACTTTGAGCAGACTGAGGCGGACCACCTGCAGACCTCTCGCCGGCTAACGTTTCTCAGGACCTCAAACTTTCTTGCCGGCGAAGAAACGCTCGTACTGAAGCGTTAAATCGCAGGCTACTGATGAGCGGCCAGGTTGCTGAGTAACACTCATAATGGCAACGTTCGTGTCCTGTGTGCGTTTTAGAAAGATAGTGAATTATGAGCGTCGGATTACTGATGACTATCGTTTTAAGAAAATTTTGCAAGGGAGCCACAGGGTTGACAGAGAGCAACTGCATTTCGATGTTTCTCTTTTCATTTCCTTACTGATTTGTGATTTAAGCAGTTGCCACCTGTTGGGGGAGATATAACCTCATTCAGTTTATAACTTGACATCCAACGACTAAATGTGATTACTTAATGAAGTACTTTACAGCGTGAAGGCACCCTGTTTTTTCCCTTTATTTTGCGCTAAAATCGTTATGTTATCGCTCTTCAGGGAGATTACGAAGCGGCATTAAACATCTATGACACTGAGGTAAATCCACGTGTAACTTCAATTATTTTTTGTTCTTCGCTAAATTTCTTTCCCCCTTAGAAGACGTCTTCATTACGGCTGGCATGATTATTGTTCGTTTTTGTAAACCCACCAATTCTAATAAGATCGCTTTCGTCCTGTTCGCAGTTAAATTGCATGATATACCCTATTTGCAGATGTTACCGAGATTTAAAGCAAGTGCCACTTTTCCGCTGACGGATGGATCATCCCTGCTCTATCGACTGAAATTTGAAGGTTGGTAAACAAAAGCTGGGAAGTTTTCTTGTTTTTTCTTTGTGTTTTTACCGGCTCCTTGTATTGTTTTCCTTTGTTCTGGTTGATTATTGTAATTAATTTCAATCGGCTTTAGTACAAAAACAAACTAATCCAAACAAAACAAACAAAAAAACAACGAGGAATAAACAAATACAAGACACGATTAAACTTTCTTATTGCAGGTGTCGATGTTGGTGATAGATGGCAACAGCTCTGCCAGTATTGGGAGAGCCACGCAGATGACCATTTTCTGGTAAGTGAATTGAATGAAAGAAAAAGCATTGTTTCTCCGTTTTCCGCGTCATGTGGTGGCAATCGAAGATAACACAAGTCTACACTTATGGTATCTACAGGCATTTAATGACAGTCATATGCTTATGAGCACGCTGGGGGCAAAGAATGAAGATTTGACCATGAAACTTTTGGAATCCTTGAGAAAATATGTTAGGTATGAAGTAAGTTTTGAGTTTTTACCATCAGCAATGGGTTGTCAGGGCACAACCAACACAAACAAACAAACAATCCAACGAACAAGCGAAACCAAGAGAAGAAATGGGAACCTTGCAATGATAATATACTACCAACTCCCGGGAAATAATTCACGTACAACAGTTTCGATTATTGTCGCATGAAAATCGAGAACACGTGAACAAGAACCAAAACAATGTATAATTATTCCCTGCCACAACTCTCTTCCACAACACAGCGAACCAACGAGACAGTGAGTCTGTTTGGGTATCTTTGGGGCACGTGGAGCTCCCAAGGGCTGGAGGAAAGCCCCATGGGACGGGAGGGAGGGTAAACAAACAGCTAAAACGGTCGAACGGACAAAACGAAGTAAAGTTAACAGCATGGAGGTCTGGGGCTAATGAAGTTATTACCCCTAGGAAAATAAATTAAATTTATCTTGGTTACTCAACCTTGTAAGGTTTTGAGTTCTCTATTTTGATCATTTTGACAATATCCTTTTCTTTTGGTTTCTTCTTTCTAGAGATGGCTCTGGAGCGAATTGTGAAATATCACGTACGGTTGGTCTCGCCATTTGCGAGGCATTTGTAGAAGCTGATAAGGTGAGTGTATAGTGATGGTTTTCATAGCAAACAGTGCTATTGCTTTGCGATCGAGTGGTCCGACTGTCCGGGTGAGTGTAATCCTGCGAAAGAATGTTGTCTGTGGTGGTGACTGACATTTCGACAACCTTAGCGGAAGTCATTCATTCTGATAACGACTTCCGCTCAGTAACGTCAGCCACTAATTCCGTCAACAGTCCTTCTCAGGACCACCCTCACCAGGACCATGAGACCAAATGATCACATGTTACCCCCTGGTTCAAACCGTTTACTATAAACAGCGCTTTGCTTGAAATCAAGTTTACATGTTTCTGTTCCTGTTGCTTCTTTTTCTCTCCTGTTATTTCTAGGGAAACTTTGATAAGGCTGTAGCATTGTTAAAACCTCTCCGTTATAAAGTGGACCTTATGGGCGGAAGTAGAGCGCAGGTAAGAATCAAAACGCCTCTTTGCTTGAGGAAAAAAATTAAGAAAGAAATACTGCCTTGAGCTATTGTCACGAAGTCGTAGTTGGTTTCGCTTTTGTATATGATTGGTTTAGAGGGTGGTGGAAGTTTTCTGGACCAATCACAGCACGAGGTAAACCTAAACCAATGCTAATACATGTAGCCAAGTAGTATAGTTGAAGCTGTAGTGGTTTTTATTGGAAACGGCTACGACCCAACTCCATAAGGCGGTCTTCCTGGGTGAATGGGCGTCTGTGCTGGAAGTTGCTAACACTCGACGTGTGCTCATATGTTTATTTGTAGCGAGATGTTTACGAGTTGTTCTTGATCAATGCTGCTATGCATT